GGTTGGAACAAGATGGTCTTTAAGGTCCCTTCCAACCCAAACCATTCTGTGATTCTAAGATTTTATTTTCTCAAAAAAATGGGCAAGATCAGCAGGGTATCTGCATTACATATAGGAACTCACCTAGGTTCCTATATGTAACTCACCTAGGCCAAGCTGGCACGTGCATATATGTTTTAATATATTAAAGAAAAAACAAAACACTAAAATCCATATAGGCTTTTAGCATGCTCTTCTCTTCAACCTTTGCCATCTTCTATTCCTAGCTCCTAGCACACATTCTCCTTTTCTGAGGTTGACATGTCTGTAACTATAGATTTCCAGTTTGTTGAGGTTTTTGAACCATCTGAATTCTTACATCTTACTGCTTCTTACTCAACACTGAATCTTAGGGTTATGACACCTAGACTTTCCAGTGACTAGGTTGGTTTTTGATTCCTGTCTTTGGGTACAGAGAGAGAGAACAACAACAAAAAAATAAATCTTCAAAACAATCAGTTTTCCTCGGTAGGCCATAGAGGAAGTGGGGACAGAAAGTTCAGAACATTCATTCTGTGAGAGCCCTACCTCCAGGTGCATTAGTAGAGCACCCAGAGAACAGCCACTCTGAGCATACAAATCTAAAAGCTACCGTCAGGCTGCTGGACTAGATAAACAAGTAGAGAACAAACTTATTACTTACACAAGCTCCTATTACTTTGCTCTGACAATTGCCCTGTACAGCCCACCCCAGCTCCATGGCTACAGGGGAGGTAAGTAAAACATTTAGAAAAGAAAGGGTTGTTCTCTTTCAAGGAAAGAAAAAAAATACACACAGACATTCATATACATATATATATAAAACCATTTGCAGGTATGAAGAATGTTAGTTGCTGCAGAACAAAACTCCAACAAACATAAAGCCCTAAAAATCTAATCTTGGTAGATCTGTCAGTTTGGGCCTCTTCCTCATCTGCTGAACTTTAAAGCAACAAGCCTGCTCATGTGCTTTCAAGATGAACACATCTTCATGCATTTTTCTGAGTCATCCCCTGGCACTGCTTTTTCTCCATCCTCCCCCGTGGGCAGCACAGGGTAACCTGAATTGGCACAGCTGCTGCCATGGGTGTCACAATCCTTGTTGATCATTTAAAATCTCTATTTTAGCGGCAACCTCTGAAAAGGTGTAGATTTCCTGCGCCCCTACATGATATCCAAAAAGTAGAGAAATTCAGAGTAAGTAGAAGCAGCACTTAGTGGCTGAGTATATAATTTGTAAAGAAATTGCTGATCTAAGGATGAAATCACATACAGTTTAATCTGTTCCTGTCAGAGATTTTTTTATTTTATCTTCATTTAGCTCATTATTCATGTATGCAATAAAAAAATTGGGAGTGTGTACTGCTCATCCTTACCTTTTCAAAAAGGCAGCTAAGGGCTGTATTTCCCAGCTATCATATATTAAAGGACAGGCAGTTAAAAACTTCAGTAATACGAACAGAAAGACAGATTATCTGGCATTGAATACACACCCAGAGCAAATATAGTCAGGGATTCAAGGGATGTAAGTACATAACACAGTTTGCTTTAAAACATGTGAATGGTCCTTTTGGCTGGAAATCAAGCATGTGCTCAGCTAAGACCATACTGCAATTGATAAGCAAGTAAGATGGATGTCCTGCTTATGAAGATAAAAACTAAGGGCTTTGCATTTCTTTTCTTGCAGCAGCTAACATATCTTATCTGAGCCTGGAAGTAATGGCATTGCCACTTATTTTCAGGTTTGTTTCATGTTATCAAGCAAACTGAGAATCCCAACTTCAGCCATCAGAGAATAATCCAGAAATTCTTACAAGAGGTTATGGAGGGTGTGATACCATGGAGCAGAATGAGAATAGGAAGCCCCACTCTGTGGTGCTTGTAAAACAAACACAAAGTTTTGTGTATATGTATGCCAACCACTCGAGTGGTTTCACTGCAATGGGAATTCAGCTTAGGGATCTAACTTTAGATCCGAATGCCTACACAAAAGCCAGTGGCTAAGCAGTCCTGAGAGGAGTCCCCAAGCACTCTCAGGGTGAGGTGAACGCCTCTGTACAGCAGCTGACCAGCCCAGCCTCTTTCAGCCTGTGCACACTAATGCTGTGCTCTCTGCCGATTTCTATTGAAATTACTCTTTTTACGCACAGTTCTCTGATCAGAGAGATCAGCTGCTGGGTACAACACTGAAGCACTCAACTGAAGCACTCAACACCACAACCTCACCTCACGGCCGTACAACAACCCATACCCTGGCACTCACAAGAGGAGAAAGAGGAAAGGCAAGACAGAGTTCAACACTGAGCACAAACCGGATCACAGAGTGCACCTTCCTACCGTTTCCTGCAACGGCCTCTCTCTGCCCAGCGCTTGCAACCTTGAATCTTCTGGATGCTGCCGACGTCTGTCTTCCTCCAGCTCACTGACTCGCCTCTCTGACACATCCAGTTTTGCTTTCATTTCTGTCAGCTGAAAAACAAGTGACAGACCATAATGAGCTGGACTGTGGCTCCTGAAAGGTGCAGCACCTTGAAGGTGCCTTCAAAACCTTTCAGCTCTCAGCAGAAAGGAGTGGATCTGGTTCAATGTAAAGTCCCCAGTCACTGACTTTTCCCTCCCCACCTCCAAGCCCTGCTACTCTGTCTGCAGTGGAGACTCAATTATGCTGGGTAAATTCTGTGTTGGTGTTAATCCAGTTGGGTCTCGCACTGTTTTGCTGCCAAAGGACAGCTAATATGGGTCTGTCCTTCCAACTGCATTTTTCCATTCTGACTTCTTAATTTTTCTTTTGCAATTTGGACTCCCTCTGCAATAGCACACATCCAAATGATCTATCCAGAGGCACAAATGGTCCATTATTAAATAGGAAAGAGCCATTTAAATTCCTCTTCTCTATGGGGGGCAGGCGGGGGGCAATCCAATAAACGATCCAGATCTTAGTAAAGCTTACTGAATAATATTAGAGAGAAAATGTTCCTGATAAGCACAGGAGGTCATTCTGCAAACCTCCTTTTTATAGAAGGAAACAGGAGATGAGAAGTATCAGCCAACAAACCCACTTGGTTTTGGGAATACCGGGCAGAATTGTAAGCAGCCAGCCTCACTAGGCAGCTGAATATGTCTGCAGGAAGGATACCACACGGTCACAAGCACGGAATGAAAGCTGTGCCAATGAGATCTTGATCAAAAAAACCAAATTTTGGTTATTTTGTCCTAATGAAGATTGCACACACATTAGCTTCAACTTCTGGGTGCTGAAGTGTTTTTAATTTTTGAGCTACAGAGTAAACGTGATGCCTTTCCCCCTGAAGATATTTACTATAGCTACGGCTGGTTGGTATTTCAGCACAGACTTAACTATCAGTACGTGGCATACATATTCCAATAGAAGTAGTCAACGTTATTACCTGTTTTTCATAAAGCTGTTTCATATTTCTAAATTGATGATCCCATTGCTTGTTCACCTCCAGAAGCTGTAATTATCAGGAAGTCACAGTAAATAACCCATATTTCAACACTGTCAATAACGAAAAAATAGAATGGCATTCTAATCCTCCAGCTATGACTGTGTACAACCTCCCCATTATCTGGCCACTTCACTTCAGAAACAGCAAGTTTAAGGTTTGGCAAGGTTCATTTCCCACCTGCCAGTGCTTCGGTATTTCAGTTAAATTACTACGTGAACATCCAGGAAGTAACGTTCAGGAAACATGCAAATACACAGTAAGCTCCAGGTGAATCATGTGCAACACTGTACAAATCCCAGGCTGCAACTCCTAAATGGCCAAGGACTTTCTTGTTAGTTTGCTTTAAGTTCCATAAACATATTTCCAATTAGAAGGTCTCTGACTTCAAACAAGTGAATTGAAGACTCCTTTTAACTGCAATTACTACTGGGTGCAAATCCTGCCTGCCTTCCTCAGTACCACTAAACCAAGCAAGCGTACACATGCAAGATGGGAAGATTAGCTAACACCATGCATCTAAGTGGTAGGAGTGAAGTCAGTGTGCGTGCATTTTTATTGGAAAAAGCCAAATAGGTCCCTCTGAAGAATTCTGCCCTGTAGGATACAGGGTTACTGTTTAGGATGCTCAGCAAAAGAATGGCTTCCAATTTGGTGCTACCTGTGACAAAGACACCACTGGCTATTACTCACAGTGGTTCCTTGGCCCTTACAAGAGTCATCATTAAGAAGATTTCCCCTTCATACCATGTAATCTGCTCTTCTAGATCCATGGCTGTGTTACAATAAGTCATCATTTGTTTTTAGGAACAGCTGTCCAAATACAACTCTGGGTAGCTTGGTAGAGAGAAGTAGGACTATAGGAACTAATTTAAACATTATTTTAAGTGCTGGCACACCTCAGGCTGCGGAGAAATGAAAAGCAGAAAATCTCCACATAGAAACTGTCTCACAAGAGTGCAGGACGAGATTCCCACAGGAAAAACATAGGCCTTGCTGAACTGGCGGGTAAAACCAACAGGAGTATATACACGGTGTAACAGTGATAACACATTCAACCTTTTCCCGCCCAAGGCATATTACCGATACTGTAATGTCTGTCTCAGAGGTTATATCTGTAAAAATTAATTGTAAAATTAAGATTACCTCTCGTCTCTGTCTCTCCAGTGAGAGGATCTGTTGTTGCAGAGAATTGGCTGATACAGTCTTCTTTTTGGTCAGTAATATGTGCCCTGACTGGAGAAACAAAATGTTCAAAAATGAATGCTTTCGGCATATTCTCCTCACTTCAAGGTTATCATATAAAACTCCCCTCCACCCTGCCACGCGCATGCCAAAAAACTGGAACAGCAACATTTTCTTACACTGTGTTTATTTCAGTACCTTTACACCTGTTGACAGCAGAATCTGAAGTGCACATCTGCTTTAATTGAACATGTGTTTTAATGGAAGCATTATGCAAATGGACACTAAAATAAACAATATTATGTCTATTTGTACCATCTGAGACAGAACACAAAATAGGATTTTAATTATCTTGCAGATGGTAATACAAACAAGTAGTACAAGCCACAGAAGTTGAGCATAACTTGAAGTGGGCCCAAGTAATTCCTTTCATTTACAAGAACTAGAACAATTACTGGTATTGCCCCTGGTAAATTCTTACAGGCCCAAGGCAATAAACTTTAGCACAGTGGGTTCAAAACAAGCAATACTGAAAACGAATAGGCCATTTGGAGAAATTAGGAAATCAGTCTGCAATTGTTCTGTTTTTTAAAGTGTGGAGTTTTGCCCATACAGGACAACAGCAGCTAAACCCTCATTTTTTTAATGGTAAATGTCGTATATTGTAATTTCCAAGAAGTTTCTATGGATTGTCATGAAAACAAATGTGACCTTACAGATATCTATCAAGAGAACTGTACTGGAAAAAAGGTACATGCTCATAAAATCAAAACATACCATGTTCAGATACCTGGTCAGGGTTTTTTTATTCCTCCCTAAATTCTCAACCCATATATAAGAAACTAGAATAAAAGTGGGAGCATTTCTGAGGTATTATGTCTCCTGAAATAGATTTATTTTCTTCAGCTAGAAAATTTAATACCAAATACTAATGAAGAAGATAAAAAATTAAAAAATAAATAGTCTTTTCACAGGCAAAAATCCTGACCACATATTTGCCCTATGGCCAGTCATGCTGAGCTCTAATGTGGACCACTTGACTGACTTCCATGCCAGAAAACACTCAACCTCTCTTTCCATAGAAGTTCATCAAGATGCTAAACTTAAAGTACCTGAAGCAATTACCTGGCTATCAATGGAGTTATTAATGTGTGGAATGCTTTCAGAATCCAGGCTTTAGGCATATATTTAAGTGTATATTTAAGAGTCCTATTAAAGTGAATAGGACAACTCACAAATCTAACAGCTATATATACACTGAGCACCAACTGGCACGAATACTGCTCACAGGAGTTGTTGGGTCACTGATACCAATCACATTCTACCCTTTGCATAACGGCAATTCCAATGATGACATATTTTTTATTTCTAACATTTCCTTCTGCTCCTAAAACAGCGTAAACATTCAGACAAGTCTACTGGAACATAAAAATGAGCCCATAATTGTCAGTCTACAAAGTGACACGCGTGATACCTGTGCCAGCTCCAGCTGTTCCTGGTAATCAGACAGCACTTCAGAGGACAGCCAAAACAGTCACTTACTTCTCGCGGGTCTGCTGGGCCTTCCATGTCACTCACGCCTGCCCACGTGCATCCAAGACGGCCTTCGGCATTTGTTTCACCACTGGTCTTTGGAAGAACAATGAAAGAAAGAGTTTACATTGGATAAAGCATTGCATTAACACCCAGAAGACCTGCAAGTGCTGCCTTTGGAAGCAGCCGAGGTTCAGAAGTGGTGGAATTTTGATTTTAACCTTTTCCTCCTTCCTGGCTGGGGCTTCCCAGAAGGGTTGAAGCACACTGCCTATGACTAATATGCTGGGCAAGGCAGCACTCTGCTTAGTGTGCATGTGAAGCGCGATCAATTGGGCAGTTCACCCTGAGAGAGGAAGTTGCATGTGTAAGGGAAGGAAGGATATGTTTTTTCAGTAAATAAGGGGACAGAGTTTTCTATACCTGCTTCCAGTTGCAAAATAGACTTACGCAAGTATGACAAGTATTAAGTGACGCTAAGACAATGTGAACTATCATGATAGGAAATTTCGTGAGTCATGCTTATAAAGGAGTAATAGCAAAGTAGCAGTTAACAGCTATGGGGAAGAGCACACCCATACAAACCCCAAGATGTTTAGGGGAAAGCCGTAATTGGAAATTGATTTACTTTCCCTGAGGAAAAGCTGCACAAAGTTGAAGAATGACAGGTGATGATACTCTTCTCCTAACGAAGCCGTACTTGTAGTGCTAGTATTTACCTTATCTAAGCATAGAATCATAGAATCACT